CTCAGCAGTCTAGGAGTGGTACAAAGTAGAGCAGTACTGTCGCCTCCATTTTTAGACCATATTTATATTACAGGTGCCTAAAATAACAGTAATTTTAAATTTTTTATGATTATAAAAGTAATTATTTATCATTGTGAGAAATTTGGAATATAAAGGAAAGCACATAAAACAAAACAAAATTCAGGCACACACCTGTAATCCAAGCACTTTGGGAGGCCAAGGTGGCAGGATCCCTTAAGGCCAGGAGTTCAAGACCAGCCTGGGCAACATAGCAAGACTCCCTCTCTACTAAAAACTTTAAAAATTAGCCAGGCATGGTGGCACACACCTATAGTCCCAGCTACTCAGGAGGATGAGGTGGGAGGATTGCCTCAGCCCAGGAGTTCAAGGTTACAGTCATCTATGATTATATCACTGCATTCCAGCCTGGGTGACAGAACAAGACCCTGTCTCTAAGAAAAAAAGAAGAAAATCAAAATCATTGAGAATTCCACAACCTACCTGTAACTCCTGCTGCTGTTCTGGAGTATATCCTTCCAGTGTTAGTGGTTGTTTAGGGACCCCCCGTAAGTACTTTATATGTGATGCTGCTAAGCCATAGCTTCCCCATTCTTTGTGAGTAGTTGGCTTCCTGAACCTAAGAGCAAGGAATGTGTTAAATTCTCATCTTGTTCACTTTGGTGTGTTTCTTTAGACATTTGAAATGTGTCTATGTTTATCAGTTTACTAGTTGCCCCTCAGCTTTGAAGCCTTTAACAAATTTCTCAGGGCTGGGCGCAGTGGTTCACATCTGTAATCCCAGCACTTTGTGTTGTTGAGGCAGGAGGATCGTTTGAGCCCAGGAGTTCAAAACCAGCCTGGGCAACACAGTAAGACTCCATCTGTACAGAAAATTTTTAAATTGTTGAATCTTCCCTGGGTCTGCAGGATCTGCATTTACCCAAAGGGCATTCAGCTCAGCCTGTGTAGAAGGCACCAATAAAGCATAAGACCAAAAAAAAAAAAAAATCTTGCAAAGAATTTGAAGTTCAATATGTATTTTTTTTTTTTTTTTTTT